TAGCACTAGTGGAAGCTGAGGGTGCTCAGTTCCCGTTGCATTTGTGGTCCTGTGCCTTAAATTATTGCTGTTACAAGATAGGGTTTTATGTTTAGCAGAGTAAACTACAGTTCTTAGTGCCTTTGACTATCAAAGGTCCACTGACACCAACCATAGAGTGAAACTGGTTTTAAACTCTCATCATTAATAATCTGGAGCAAGTCAGATGTGTCAGTGTGACTGCAGGACAAAGGCCAAGTAAGAAGGAATATCATCAGGAGGAAGGGGTTGTTTCCCTCCAGAAGGAACATCTGTCTCATTTGAGTCCAGCAAGAGTGATGGATAGTGGCAAGTTCTGTTAACTAAACATTATTTATAACAAATGGAAGGAGCCAGTTGCTAAACAGATGCCCAGGATACATCCATGAGCCTCCTAAAGAATGTTTCCAGGGGCAGTGTCCTCCTCAAAGCTCAGTCCAAGCAGTCCCAGCTGAATGCAAGGGCTGGAGAGAGGGTTTAAATCCACACTGGATTCCAGAAGGAGAGGCTGCCCTGCCCAAAGGAGCACGGGGGAGCAACCCCAGCTTCCCTCTGGGCCCCTGGAATGCCACAGCCCTTAGGGCATTCCTTCAGCAGCAATGCCTGCCCCACCACGTGCCAGGTCTGTGCAGGCTCTGGGGCTGTCACTGAGCACCTCCTGCCAGCCCAGAGCTCACCTGGCTGTCCCCACAGCAGGGCTTTGCTCTCTCTTGTTTAGGTAACAGTGCAACCTCTCCCTGCCCTCCCTGGGGAAGGAGGGATTCCTTCCCCCTCCAGGCAGCTTCCAAATGAAAGAAAAACATCACTTCAAAAGGTGCAGATATTGCAAAACCGCTTCTGGAGGAATAAATCAGGAAAGGGGAGAGTTAATCTCCTCCTCAGAGCTGGTGTGGGGCTGAGTTTGGGATTTGTGCTGAACACAAGGGGGGTTTCACTCTTGCTGAGCACAGTCAAGGCTTTTCCTGCTGCTCACAGCACCCACCCAGGAAGTGCACTGGAGCTGGGAGGGGACACAGCCAGGACAGCTGAGCCCCACTGACATTCCAGACCCTATGGAATTGTGCTCAGCACGTCAGGCTGGTGGAAGAAGGAAGGGGGGACCCTTGGAGTGATGGCATTGCCTTCCCAAGCCACCATCACTTGTGATGGAGCCCTGCCCTCCTGGAGGTGGCTGAACACCTGCCTGCTTGGGAAGTGGGGAATGAATTCCTTGCTTTGCTTTGCTTGTGTGTGTGTGTGGCTTTTGCTTGCCCTATCCAATTTATTCAATTTATTGAAATTATTTGACCCGCAAATTTCTTTGCTTTTACTCTTCTGTTTGTCTCCCCATCCCACTGAGGGGGAGTGAGTGAGAGGCTGCCTGGGGCTGAGTTACCAGCTGGGGTGAGACCATGACACTGTCCCAGACAAGCAAAGCCAAGAGACAAATTCATCAAGCCCTTGCAGCCAGCTGAGCTCTGTCAGCCCGGAGATGTTGGCATCTCATCCCCAGCTCAGCACACAAACAGCTCGCTGTCTCCAAGCCTTAAGAGCTCTCATTCCAGCCATTCCCCTGCTCTGTTGGAATAGCTGCCAGTGGTCACACAGACCAGGCCAAAGAACACCCTAAATTACACTCAGGACAGCCCTGTCTTAGTGTAAGCGGGGAATACGTGAGTTAGTGGGGAGCAGGATTAAACTGCTGTCTGCAGCCCCTGATTCACACAGCGTTCCCCTTTTGCCTCTGATGCAAACCCAGGCCCTGTGTTAGCAGCTCCAGCAGGAGCCAGGCAGTGACCCTTGGTCTGGGGGGTGCAGGGAGCAAAACCTCTGAATGAAAAACAGCCTTGGCCCTGCCCAGAGGGCCCAGCCTTCATCAGTCAGCATCATCAGCAGCATCAGTCAGAGCCTGCATCTGCATTCCACAGCTTAGAAAGACAAATGCTCTGCCCGACCACAACAGCTCCTGTGTCTGGTCCGTTCTTGACAGATAAATGGAAATCAGTGTGTTCTTCCAAGCAGCAAAGGCCCTTTCTGTGACAGGGCTGCTCCTGGCACAGAGCCCAGCGCTCCAGGAGGCTGCAGCACCCACGAGGACACAGCCCTGGGGTTCTGCCCCTCTCAGAGCACATCCTCTTCTGCCCTGCACCACCTGGGCATCTGGGAGGGGCTGCAGCCCCTAAACCCCCCTGGGGACAAGACTGGCTGGGGCAGGTTTGCTTTGTCACCTCAAAGCAGTGGGTGCAACACCCCGGTCTCTCTGTTTTCCCCTCCTGATGGACAGAACAGCTTCATCCTCCGGCACTTCACCGTCCTGAGGGCACCTGGCACTGCCCAGCCAGGGCTCCTGTTAGACCTCAGAGCCACCAAAACCAGCAGCAAAGCCAAGATGGTAACAAGCACACACCAGAAGCTCCTGAGGAACTCACCCAGCAGTGGGAGATGGAGCCACATTAAGCAGGACAAAAAAATTCCCCTCCACTAACCTGGGCCTACCTTTTTTGTCTCTTTTCCTCTCTTTGACTGCTCTCTGGGTGACTCTGGGAACTGAGCAGTCCCAGGCAGTTCCTGTCAATGCCTTTTACCATCTCCAGGAGATGGCAGCTCCACCTTTGACTCCAGCACTGCCTGAGGTCAGGCAGCCCCACTTTGCTCTGCTGCTGAGTTGGGGTTTCATTTGTTGACCGGGTGAATTCCAGACTGACACTCATCACAAGGGATTTGGAAGGGCCTCCCGTGTGTAATCAGCTCTTGCCTCTAAAACCTCATATTGAAAAATAAAACAAAATAAAATCCTCAAGGTCTCCTCTGGACTGTTCCACCCCTCGGGCTTGAAAACAACTGGGCCAACTGAGAAGAATTTTGATTCTTTCTTTAAGTGGAGATTACGCTCCACCTGAGGCAGCTCAGACCACTTGGATGTGGCTGCAAGCCTTCCCAAAATGTACTTTAAAATTAAAATGCTGAAAGGCCCTCTCCAGAAAAGCATCTTTATAAGTCTTTCCCATATCTTTTTTTTTTTTTTTTTTTTTTAGTTAAATGAGAAACCAATTACTTTTTAACAGCAAGAACTGCAGTGAGGTAACAGGAAAGCCTTGGAGACTCACTTTAGAAAACAAGATTTAAGCACTTCTTCCAGTTTTACATTGGGAATCTAAATCAGCAAGTCCTTGAGTCCCACAGAAAAGGAGGTATAAAGCACATACAGTCATGCCTGTCCTCTGAGATTGGCGAGCACAAGTAGTTAACAAAAGGCAGAAAACAACAGAACCAACACAGTTCAACTTCTGAACTGTGTTTTTTCTTCTAGAGTTTTCACTGCTCAATAAATCTGACATTTATTTTGCTGCTTGTTCCAAGGAGGTTTTAGGTATTAACTGAGGGGCAGGAGCTATGCTGGTATAAAATAGCTTTGTCCTATTTAACCCATGAGAAACTGTCCAAATTTACCTACCATGAAAACCCACACTAAAACCTCTGCCAGCTAGGGTGATAAAAATGCCTATTAGGTAGTTCAGTGTCTAGGCTCTCTCTGTCCTGGTCTCCAAGTACCTACATCCACAACTTAGGAGTCAAAGTCAATTAAACAAGTCATTTGGTGCCATTTTATCCAGGGGCATTTCCAGGTCTGGAGCCCTTGTAACCCTAATTAAAGAGAGCACTTGCAGCCTCAGCAAACAGCTTCATGTTTAAAAAGAATTTGAAACACAAAACACGTGTTTACCCAGGAGAAACTTCCTCCACTAGTGAAGCCCGTGCTACAATCTTCAAAGCAGCCACTGAATTTAGGTTTGGATGTGTGATCTGGGTTTGAGTTCTGGCTGCTCAGCTGCTCTGCAAGTGCAGCTGCACAGTCTGGAGGCATCAGAGTGGAAGAAAGCATCTGAGGAAGGAATCGTTTTTCCCTGAGAATTCTTTCCCAGGTCTTGCCTCATACGAGTAAAACATAGGAAAACATTCCTTGAATTTGCTGACAACATGCAAATGCGTTTTTGCCAGTGAGCAGTGAACTCGAACTGAAAATTAACTAATCAAATAAACTCCCTTCTTTTGAGGCATAAGGAAATCTTTGTCAGTTTTGGAATACAACCCCTCCTGTAAGCTCTGAAAGCCGTCTCTCCGTACAGTCTTGTCCTTGTTGAACAAGGATCCGGTTTGGGGGACACAAAAGACTTTTCTCAGCTGTTGGCTCAGCCTTTGTGGACACAGAACACTTCTGGTGCCCCCGTGTCACACAGCTTGGCCTTGCCCTGGTTCTGCTCAGAAACACAGCAGGCCTTTACTGGACAGGGACAAAGGCACAGATTTCTAAATCCTTCTGGCAAGACTGCTGTGGCTTCCCAAAAACTGGATTGAGTGAGTTCACAGGAGAGGTACAGCACTGCCTCACCCATGGCCTGTGCAGGGACAGATGGATAGAGTTGAGGCAGAAAGGGTTGCTCTGAGCTCCAGGGGAATTCCTCCTCTACCTCCTCCAGCACGAGACATTCCATGCCCTGTTCCCAACAGCCATGACTCAGCACAATCAGCATCTCCAGCAACTGTGTTATAAGTGGTTTCATCATCCTTGTTCCAGCACAGCCTGAGTGCAGCAATTCCCCACTGGCAAGGAAGGAGCAGCCACAAGTCAGCTACTTCAGGGGGGAATCCACCACACTTTTGGCCACCACACTGGTGGTTTCCAGGCAAAGGGTCTGATCCCAAGTGCCACACTCCTTCCAGAAGGAGCAGCACCATTGCTGCAGAGCAAACACAGCAGGCACAGACCCCTGCAGAGCTCTGCCAGTGCCACAGCAGATGAGGAGCCTGAGGCGTTTACCGAAGGCTCAGAGGATACACAAAATGTCGTAATTACCACGCACCCAAACTCACCTTGAAGGGGAAAACAGCTCCTTCCCACCAGGCTTACCCAACTTGGCAGCCCTGCCACTGGTGCAACAAACACCTGCTGTTGAGTTCCAACCCCCCAAGGAATCGTTTCAGGCACCTGGATCCAGACTTACACAGTGTGTGCTGGAGATGATGACGGAGCTGGAGATGAAGCTCAGGCCATCGTTCATGCTGACTTGAAGAGCTGCTTCCCTGCAAGGGAACCACAAGAAACAAGTCAGGCCAGCTGGTCCCCAACCCTCTGCTTGATCCCATCCTGTGGAACCCGGGCTGCTGATGCTCAGGAGAGCCTTTTGAACAGCTTATAATTCCCACTGGTGGTACACTTGCCCCCGTGCTCCAGTGCATAATTAATGCCAATTAACACGATGAGCATGAGATAATGCCAGCATTAGACCTGTACAAGAGCAGCAGAACGTAATAAAGCGACCCACACCCATCTTCCCCCAGGCAGAGTAAATATTTGAGTGGCAAAAAAACATACATGCCAACTTCCCGCAGCACGGGCGCCGGGCACAGCAGGTAGGTGTCTTCCACCACAAAGGGTTTCTCATCTGGAAAAGAGAAACACTGGGATTTATTACCTGATCAGCAAAGAGCAGGTTTAAATAATGGTTTTGCCTCGCTCCTGGTACGCAGAGAAGATCAAACAGTGTGGGGGATGAAGAGCTGTGGCAATTATCTGAGCCACAGCACAGCTGAAGGCACAGAGCTTTTGGAAAGGTCAGAGCACAGGGCCACAGCCACTCTGTGTGCAGGAGCCCACAGGGACTTGCAGCAGGTTACACATAATTGCAAATATCAAAGTAGAGAAAATTGTATATTAGGGGGAAATTTGCACTTTTAGGCAGACACGTCTGAACTTAAATTGAACCTGTCAGCCCGAATTACACTGCGGGTTTAGAGGTGGAGTGAGGAAAATTAACAATGGGCAATCGCCTGGGAAACAGGAACATGAACTGATAGTCTTCTTCTGTAGACTAAAGTCAGACAGATGGGGATCCCAAGGAACTTCCCAGCCCATTTGCCAGCTGACTGGAGATGGGGCAGATGGACAGAAAACCAGGCAGACAGGCTGGGTAGTGGTTGTTTTTTGGACTGGAAACCAAAACATTCCACAGGAGGGATTGATTTGCTGGATCATCATTTCCAGAAGCACGTCCCTGCATCAGAAATCTTTCCACAGCTGTACCCATGACCACCTCGAGGGCCTTCACAAGGGACCTGAAATGAGCTGTTACCAAGCACTACCAGCTTCCTAACATTTTCCAGTTGAACGTTTTATTCTGTTTGAAATCCCCTCTGCTCCTGACAGATTCCTTCCCCTTGGCCTCTCAAACTTACAGGTTTCAAACCTCACCTTCCATCTTTTCTCTGTACCCTGAGGGTGGGTGGGACGTTCATTCTATGGGGCCACCATGGAACAGGAGCACAATTCACCACCCCCCTGCTGAGCTATTTGACATCCCAGACACAAACCCGGGCTCTCAGACCATCTAGAGTCTCTTCACAACTGCATCTTGCACTGAATTAATGTCCAGGGTGCTCAGAACACACAGGGGAGCAAGGTCAGTGTCCAGTGCCCCACTGGCAGCACCAGGAAAGGAGAGGAGCGAGGATGGAAGTTTAACCAAGCCATTTAGCCATTCCATTAGTCATGGAATGAAGAGCTGAACTGTTCTGGCCAGCTGGTCTTTGGCTTTTGAGGAAACCTGTGCAAGTTACGACTCCATTTCAGGTGCCAGTGGAAAGAGGAAAAGCCACGAGGAGGCACAAGCCAAAGAGAACACGGCAAACTTCTCCAAAGCACTTGCTGCATCAGCTGGGAGCCTTGTTCCTCCTCCCCTTGGCTGCTGAGGTGAGTTTGTCCACGTGGATGGTGCCTAATGATGACCAGGGCACCAGCAGCAGAGCCCTCCTGACCCTGGCCCTGACCTCAGGGTCAGCTCAGGGGGGTTCCCTCAGAATCAGGGTCATGCAGCCCATTTTAGTGCAGTGGATGAGGCACAGGAGGTACTGACTGCAACAGTCTGCCCCCCTCACGCAGGAGCAGGACTCACCAAGCCAAGCATTCCTTCCCAGGCATTCCTAGAAGAGGTTTCCACTAAACACAGAGTTTTAGAGAGCAGAAGCACTGCTCTGGTAATTCCTGTCACACATTAGAATCCCTGTTTCATACTGGTGCATTTCTTTGCTTTGGCAGCAGCGTAAAAGGAGATTTCCTCAGGCAGGTTAGGAACTGTTTATTTTTTACACTCCATTAAAAAAAGGAAAAAAAAAAAAAAAGAAATGGTAATGAAAAGTTGTAACCTTCCCTGATGTTCTCCAGCTTCCAGCAAATCCCATGCCTACACATACACACTTGAATTTCTGGGTTACCCACAGCACTTGTTTTGTCAAGGACTCTTTGACCCAGGCCAACAGCTGAACATGAAACATTTTGGGCACACACACGGTTTCCACAGCCTGGCTTTGGTTCTACCCCATGGCTCAGAGCTCCTGGGATCCCTCTAGATCCCTGCTCCAGCTCTTGGCCTGCAAAGTGCCAGATTAGTGCTGTCTTCCCACAGCCTCAGTGCAAGAACACGCAGGAACGTTTCCAGCAGGCTGAACATCAGGAGCAGCTGATTTCAGCACAGGGTGGGTGTTCCTTTGCCAGCCCCACGCTCCAGGAGATGCTTCCTGTCAAAGGGCATCTCAGGCAGAACACAGGCATTTGAAGGGTGCAGGGCAGTAATCCCACACCCTGCCACACCTCCCATCTCCTCCAGCCCAGCTCTGGGCTCGTGGGGACCTTGCAGCACACACAGGCCCTGGGTTTTGCAATGGAGCTACCAAGCCAAGCCAGCAGCATTTCCCACTCAGGGCAGATGTGCAGTGGTGGCTCATCTGGTCCCACGGTGCTGTTCTCACCCTGGTTTATGAAGATATCATTAACCCTCATAAATTTATGACATTGTCCCAGCGCACACATGCCAAGAAAATGAAGACCAATGGCTTGTTTTCTCCTTTGCTGACTCTGGCAGCCAAGGCCCAAGACGTCCCTGTGCCAGCATTGACTGGAACAAAAGCTGCTTCATCCTGCAGGGCCTTTTACTTAGATCTCATCAGGTTTTTGTTTCTCTTTCTCTCCCT